AGGCCAGGAACATGAACAACAACACAATACACAATGAACATCTGCAAGGAAAGCTGTTTGGACAAGAGTATACCACATGATACACACAGCAGCTGCCAGGGCCAGTAAGATGAATGAAGAGGTGATGGAGAGGTAGAGACACAGGAACAGTGCTTTGTTTTGTTTTGTTTATTTTTCCTTGGTTTTGTCATGTGTGCTTGATTATTTTTTTTGTTATTTCATTTGTTTTTTAATTGAAATAGGTATTTTAATTGTATATTTTTATTCTTTAACATTTTTATTTAATTGATTTTAGCACTCTTTTCTTTTTTATCCTTATCTTATTTTTATTATAATCTTTATCTTATTTTTATTATTCCTGTTTTAGTTTTCCTTTGGGTTGAAACACTACAAGAGTGAGGGGCTGATGCAGAGGGGTGACTGGGAAATATGTGATATTGGAGTGCACACTGTGAAATTCTCAAAGAATTAATAATAATAATAAAATAAAAAAAAACCTTGGTCACCTCTTTTCATTTGGTGGTGACTTTGTTTTGTGGATAGGGTCTTACTATGTAGACCAAGCTGGTCTCAAATTCACAGAGATCCTTCTGCCTCAGCCTCCCAAGTACTGGGATTAAAGGAGTGAACCATCACACAAGGTTTACATGTAATTTGTAAATTTGTAATTTGTAAAATAGGACAAAGGACAGCCACCTTCTGCTTTCTTCACTATCTAGCACCCAGCTCTCTCCTCTCTCTCTCTTTCTCTCTCTCTCCTCTCTCTCTCTCTCTCTCTCCCCTCTCTCACGCATGTGTACGCATGCTACACACACACACACACACACACACACACACACACACACACTGTCCTAAGTGGAATATAACAGAAGGGAAGGTCCTGACTCATTGTGGAACAAAGGAAAAGATGCAGGATGTGATCTCAGTTTTGTTGGGAGAGTAATTGTTTAGCAGCACCAGGTTCTGGATTCTATTTTTCTACAAATAAATCTATGGCAGAGATTCAGGAGTTCCGGTTTTCCTCAGCTACATAAACAGTAAGAGGCCAATCCTGGCTGATAGTACCTTGTTTCAAAAAACAAAACAAAATCACCTCAAAACAAAAAAATTAAAAATATATACTAATAAGACACAAGTTATGTAATTTAAGTAGTTCACAAACAATCTGGGATCTCTTTCAGATTTAACCTGAAACTGAAAGTACATTGTCCACAGGTTGATTAGACCACAGCACTGCCTTCTGCAACACTTGCTTTTAGAAGAGACTGGAGACCCAGCCACCAAAGACATGCTCAGGTACCTGACAAATCTAAACTCTGTCATCTGAAGGGGAAGGTCTCTAAGGTTGAAGGATTCTTAGAAAAAGTCTGAGGGCTGCAGTGGGTTTAGCATAGAGGGTCTGTGTCTATGATTCAAGGGATATAGCCAGAAGATCAGTTCTGGGCAAGAAATAGCCCATGTAGGGAGATGGAGTCAGAGCTAGATTAAATATATAAATATATAAATATATAAATATATATACATATATATATATATATATATATATATATATATATAATGCAGGACTACTCTATTTACCCCCCCCAGGTCCTATAGGAAGCAACTGCCATCTGTGCACATAGGTGCTAATGTATATAGACTTTTTCATTCCTGTACTTCCTGGGTTTCATTAATCCCATTTTCCTTGCAGCTCCGTGCAAACATGAGCTTTTTGGCTTTATTTACCCATTTTAAAAGAGCTTTAAAGACTACATTCTTGTTATGTAGCCCAGTCTAACCCAGACCTTGAGGTCCTCCTGCTCCAGATCTCTTGCAAGTTAGGGAATGTTGACTAATTATTGTTGTTGCTGTTGGTGTAGAATCTTGCAGATATAAAGCAGAACTAAAGGACAGTGAGAAGGAGTGAGGAAAGGGGAATGGCAATGAAGGGAAAGAGAGATGGAATTTTAATTGGCAGGCACATATTGCAGGAGTTCATACTGGGGCTGTAGTGACTCAAGCTGCATACTTTCAGTCTGAGTAGGGTGTGAGGGCCATCAGGGCCAGTGAAGGAGGCTGTACTTAGGTGTCCCAGAGGGAAGCAGGCACCAGTCTTGCCAAAGGCAAATATCTGGATCAACCACACGAGGAAATAGGAAGGAGAGGAGAGAATTGGAAACTTAGTCCAGACTGGCTGAGCCATGCTTCCTGAATGAGAAAGTCCCTCTGCTGACTGACCGATGCAACAGGATTCCTTTCTGCTAGCACCTCCACCTGCGATTTCTCAGACTTGGTACTGTCAATACAGAGCTTTGAAGCTGGGTATAGATCAATAGAAATGTGTTTGCCTGGCACGCACGAAGTTCTAGGTTCAATCCTCAGCAATGATGAGCTATAATCCATGCTGGGTGATCGCTCCCCAAAAGCAAACTGTGAACTGCAGATGGCTCCTTGGTTAGAGCAAGTGGTTCCTCTTGCAGAGGGATCAGAGTTCAGCTCCATCACCCATGTCAGGTGGCTCACAAGTGCCTGTAACTCCAGCTCCAGAGAACCTGACATGTCTGACCTCAGAGGGCACCTGCACTGAGATGCACAGTATCCCCAAACATAAGATGTACATACATATACATTACTGAACATAAGAAAAATAAATCTTTTTTTAAAAAAGCAAATTATATCAGAATTGATAAGGAGCTCATTAGAAACTCTAAATGTATGGCTTTGGGACTGGGTCCAGAAATCTCTTGGTGACAGGTTTCCAGAGAAATTCTTATACAAGCTACTTTAGGAAACATTTTTAATAAGTAACAGGATCCTAAATATCTCAGGTTGTTCAAAAGGCCAAAGGAAATCAACCCTGTTGGTATGGTGACCAGAGCTTAATTTTACCTTTGTTTTTGTTTTTTGAGGCTCATTACATCCTAACCTTGCCTGGGACTTTGGATGCCCCTGCCTCTACCTACCAAGGGCTGGGATTATAGGTGTGTGCTTCCATAATTGGTTGTCTAAGAAGACTTCAAGTATTTAGGTGGCTATCTTATGTAGCAGAATATGCTTATTTTACAATAAGTAATGGTGTGTTAAGAGTTGAGAATGTACAGAGGTGGAAACCTTCACTGCAGTGTAGAACTTAGGTCTGTTGTTTCCACAGCATCCCCTAAAGGCTCAGGGCAGGAGAAGCCAAGCTGTGGAGGAGGAGCCTTCCAAAGAACAACTAGTTAGCCATGGCATGCAGCAACTTTCTGCCATTCTCAAGTTGTGGGGAGAGCATTTTGTTTCCAGCTAAGTCAAGACTCTGTGGAAAGGAACACAACAGGCTTAGATAAGTGTGGGGAGACTTTCCATGAATTTCCAAAAGCCAAAGGCAGGAATGAAGGGATGGGTCCATACCAATGATGGGAAGTGACCTTTCTTGTCATTCCTTGTCTTGCTTTCGGTGTATATATTAAGCTCCACCTCTCAAAAAGTAGCACAAGCAATACATTCTCATAAGATACAGCTGTTAATAAGGCTGACTGTGTTAATCTGCTTTCTTTCTTTTGGTTTTTCTTTTATTGTGTGTGTGTGTGGGTACATGCACATGTGTGGGCATATGCTGTTGTGTGGGCACAGGCATATGTGTCAGAACATGAATTTGGAAGTTAGAGGACAATCTCTGGTGTCATTCCTAAGGCACAGTCCACCATTTTTGTTAAGACAGGGACTCTCAGAACCTTAGGACACACAATGTAGGCTGGTTTGTCTGCCCAGAGAGACTAGGGGATCTCAGGGACCCATCTCTCTCCACCTCCCAGTGCTAGAATACAAGTGCATACCATCACACCCCACTTTTTTTCCTATGGATTCTGGGAATCAAACTCAGATCTATGTTTGCAAGGCAAGTACCTTATCCAATGAGCTACCTCCTCAGTTTGTGTCTATTACTACCACAAAATCCTTGATACTGGAAAAGTTTATAAAATAAAGGTGCTTGCTAAGTTCATGGTTTGATAGCTGGAAAGTCTAAATATCATGGCAATACTGACTGGTTAGGGTTTTCCTAAATCACAATAGGGCAGAGAAGCCATTGCCATGTGCAGAAGGGAATACATGGCAATAGAGGGAGCCAGAAAGGTTCTGGGGTCAGACTTGCTCCTGTAGGAACTGAGCAGGATTGCACATGTGAAATGATCTCTTCTGAGGGTGATTTTCTCCAGGACCTAGTCACTTCCCAGCAGACCTCACCTCTTAAAGGTTTCTCTACCTTCATACGGCCACACTGGGGACCTGCGGAGGACATATCCAAATCTTAAAACATACTGACAGCATTAAAAGTCATTCAAAGGTAGCTAGTTGAGTGTGAGCCATCAGTTATTCAAATATGGAGAAGAATGTAAGTATCTGTGCTAAGTAAAAGATCAGGGCCTATGACAGACCTGCTGAAATATGGACTGTTTGCCCCTGGCAGGCTACACACTACCTAGCTCTCTGTGTTACCAGGATTGATTGATCCCGAGGACAGAGGATGTCAGTCACCTCATCTCTAGTAAAGGACCCAAATGGATATATTCAGAGTCCTGATAATCAATTCTTGGAGCAGTGTGAGCAGGAGCCTGGACCTCCAGATGTGAAATGGAGATTCAGTCATTAACCCAGAGCTGATCCATCAACAGATTGTCAGTACTCTGCACTGCCGCGCCCGTGCAGCCAGAGTACCGAACTTGGCAGAGGGTGTCCGGATCGAAACACTTAACAGACCACCACAAAAAGTGAAGAAGAAGCTGCTGCCATTTATTACAGAGAGTAATGGGCTTATATACCCAAGCCAGGGGATGGGCTAAGCATAGGAGGAAGTCATGCATCACCCACACCTGGGGTCAAGGTATAGGCACTGCACACCAGAAAGTTCTGAAAACAACCTTGTTTGCATGGAAGTTCTACAGCTGGGTGGGGAGGAAGAGAGCTGTAAGGGACAAGTACTTAAATCTCCCAACATTTCATTGTCTTATACCCCTATTTCATTGTCTTATATTTGCTTGCAGCTGTTTTTGAACTTGAAGATGACACCAAAATTTCACATGCTTCTCCTGACTTATTGGTTGTTAACCCAGCAGGTAATATTCTCAACCCACACTCTGTTGACCCTGCTTTCCCCTGCCCACATCTTCATGATATTACTGTTCCCAGAGCTGAGTACATAGTTAGACAATAGTGGAGGGCATGAATCTTGGAGACACCATGTAAAGATATCAGTAAGGGAGAAGGTTGCGTGGGGATGATTGTGAGCAATATACACTGATATATGTATGTGAAAATATCATGATAGGCCTGTTGTTTTGTATACTGACTAAAAATGTGGTTGAATAAAGAAGAAAAATGTAGTACCCATAAACACAAAAGGATCAGAGATCTCAGCCTTGCTTTCTACAAATCTTATAATAATATTGTGACCATACATGCATGTGCCATGTATGAGGTTGGAGTAGGTGACATGCTATAGACTTCAGACAGCACCCAGCACATGCTGATAACTTAGCAAACTTAAGTTGTAACAAAGAACCCTACTTCTTCCTTTCAGGTGACAGGCCTGACTGAGCCTTCCAATCTGGACATGGCTCCCAATGCATTTGATGATCAGTATGAGGGCTGTGTCCAAGAAATGGAGAAGAAAGCACCCCAATTGTTAGAGGAAGACTTCAACATGAATGAGCAATTAAGACTTGAGTGGGAAAGGGCAGAGGCAAAATGGAAGGTGATGAAAAAGACAAGAAGCTATCCAGAAGGTTTCCATGATTTCCACGGAACGGCTTTAGTAGCCTACACTGGGGACATTCACAAAGATTTTAACAGAGCTGTTAGAGAATTCAGGAAAGATTTCCATAACTTTCATTACAAGGCCTTCCATTACTACTTAACAAGAGCTCTTCAGCTTCTGAATAACACTAGTTGTTACACAGTTTACCGAGGCACCAAGAACAAGTTTCTTTACAGAGGGAAGGGCTCTGTGCGGTTTGGGCAGTTTGTTTCCTCATCTTTCGATGAGAGAGTAGCTCTTTATACCTTTAGTAGTGCTAGTGGGACACTGTTTACCATCAATACCTGCTTGGGTGTTAGCATAACTGGATTTTCCTACTACCCTAATGAAAAGGAGGTATTAATTCCAGGCTATGAAGTATATCACAAAGTCACTGTAACGCCAAGTGAAAAAGCAAATTACAATATTTTTCTGAATTCTACCAAAAGAGGAAAAAGCAACTTCAATTGCTTTATAACTCAGGTGAGTGTGGGTCTGTGTCTGCCTTTCAAGGCATAGTTCAAGTATCATTTGTAGTAACCCTTCCTTAATACTTCCAGAGAAAATTACTATACCGTGTTCTCTGTCATAGGTCTGGGGTCAGACTCAATTGTAATTTGGTTCAAATATCAGTAACTCTGTATCCTTGGCCACTATCCAGAAACTGTGTCTCAGTTTCCCCATTTGAATGATAAAGACGCAAATGACAAATATTCTATGATATTGTTTGAAAATTTAGAGAGAAGCATTCAACACATATGACTTGGCATCCAGGCTCCACTCTATGTTGTCCTAAGAGATTAAGTTTGACTGAGAGGCCAGGGAGCCATCCTGAAATGAGTTACAGTTAGACTACTGAGTGCTGAGAAATCATTGCTCTAATCAGCCCTGACACTCAGAGGGGTTTCTGGAAACATGAGAAGTCTTTGCAGCTGGAAGTGAAACTACAGGAAGTGATCGCAGGGATCTAATGCATTTACATAGAGAAGTTCAGAGTTAGGATGAGGCCTGAGGAAAGCAAGACCCAACCCAGGTACACAGTCTAGCCAGAAAGACGCTGTCCATCTGGGAGAAACATTGATATCCAGTCCAGGCAGGCTGAGCTTCTCGTTCACACCAGCTGACATAGAAGGAATACACATTGCTGTAACAATGGACTTTCACAAGGTTCACACTCAGAAACCTCTCCTTGGGTGAAGAAGGAAAAGCACACAGGGCTCCCTAGAAGGCCAGGAAGAGTCCAGATAGAAAAGGTTTTTCTCCCCAGCCAGTGTCTTAGAGCACAGAACTCTGGAAGCTGTCAATCCATCAGTTTGTTCACCTCCTGGTACTTGAGTTCTTTAGGAATCCTGAGAAAGCCAGAGGAGTCTACCCTGACACACTGACTCCTAGAGCCTACTCCCCTGGGTTTTGAGCTGGATGTAAAGTTCTGAATGTTTCGGAGACATCTGTGTCTTGAGACATCTCACATGGAAACCTTTCCTTCTCCTCCCATCTACAGGAGCCAGAGACAGCCCTGCATTCCTGCTGCTTGTGGTGCTACCTGGTCTCCTGGTCCAGCTGTTTTCTCTTGCTGAGCTGTAGTCATCTCCTGCCTGCAGTTCATGGTGCTGAGTGTTGAAGGGAGGCCAAAGGGCTAGAACTTGGCAGGTTCTCTAAGGCCTGTGGGAAAATGAAGGGTGGGATCATTTGGGGGTGTTGTGCCTATGGGTTTTCTCAGTTTCCAAGGAAGTGATACCAGACTGCAAAAGTAAAAGGTTTTTATTGTTAAGAACAAAACTGGCTGGGATCTCACTGTATCGGAAGAGTAAGGCACCTGCTTACAATTGGGAAGCATTTTTAAACGGGAAAAGGGAAAGGGAGGCTTGAGACTGCTACTCAGTTCACAAGGTTTTCAAGGTTATAGACATTTTATAGGGTACAGAGTTTCAGGGTTAGGGGGTTTTCTTATGTTTGTTGTTTATTTCCTGAGAACAACATGAGGCTCTGTACTCTGTAGTCAGTTATCTACTGGCAGAATTTCTTGTCCCTTCTTGCCATAAGCTCTAATTTTTAATCTTTCTATCACAGGGGGAGATGGACTTTAGTATTTACAGCTTCTTTGACATCCAATGAACCTACTAGGTCTGTGGGTGATATTTTGTGCTCTGACTTCTAATTTACTACCCTTGGACACTCTGCTAGGATCAAGGCTTGTTTGCATGGTCCACAGGCACAGTTTTAAAGTATGCAATATGGTGCTGAAGGCTGGAGAGATGGGCCAGCCTTACAGAGCACTGACTGCTCTTCCAGAAGATCTTGGTTCAATTTCCAGCACCCATATTTCAGCTCACATCTGTCTGTAACTCAAAGATCTGACATTCTCACACAGATATACATGCATGCAAAATAGAATAAATACATTAATTAAAAGAAGTTCAAGTTCATCCTTGACTACATAGATTTTTGAGGGTGACCCAGTCTGCATACGATCTTGTCATTCAAACAAACAGAGCAATATGGTGCTGAATATTACAATGCAGTAAGATAAACCATTTATAATCACACCTTGATTTTCTGTGACTATGTATTTCTATAGGTTGTATTATTGGTTTGAGAAGCTCTTCTAAGGCATGAGGTCTGATAGTCCCACTGATAACAGCTGAGAATATTCATGCTGTACATTTCTCACAGATACTCCTGTGGTTAAAGCCATTATGTTACCCCTGGGAATAGTGCATAAACGTGTAGTGAGATATTCACTTAGTCCCTACCTGTGGCACTGACCACGCCCATTGGGGTGGGGATAGGGGCGGTTGTTACCTGAGGGAGCTAGGTCTAGGGAAGGGGCCCAGAGCTCTTTCTTGCTTGCAGCACAGGGACTGAAGAGCATCTGGAGGCATCTTTGGGACCAGGAACCTGATGGTTCATATGTCTCTGTTATAAATTATTTCTCCCTGAATAAACATCTAATCATCCTATTTGTTTTTCCTGATCCTTATTAAACTACATTATAAACGTTGTGCAAATGGAGCTCCTCCGATGGCAAGGCCCTTTGCAGAATCCCATCCATTTGGCAAGGACCTGTGGAAAAAATACTACAAAGTCCTGTCCTGATCCTAGGAAGGTCATAAACTTCAGGCCTCTCTAACTTTTGATATGTTTATTCTTTTTTTTTTTTTTTTCAAGATCAGATAAACTATTTGTTTGGGGTTTTTTTTTTGGTTTTTGTTTAGTTTAGTTTTGTTTTTTGTTTTTTGTTTTGTTTTGTTTTTGTTGTTTGTTTGTTTGTTTTTGGCTAGGCTTATTCTTATGGAAACTCTTAGTCTTGATTGTGCCTGAGTTTATGGGGAACAAAAACCTTTACAGAAAAATTAAGTCTGTCTGATCTGTTACAGAAACTGGTCTCTCTGGTTGCCCCTGGCTGCCTTTGCTGTCATCCTGAATAAGCAGAAGGAACTCACAAAGGTTAATGATTCTTGGTTATCCAGTTCCAAAAAGAGAAAGATATACTCCAAAGAACTTGGATGATTTCCTAAAAGACATTAAAAACTTATAGGAACATATAAAGAAATGATACAGGACATGAAAGGTCAGACATCTCTCTGGTGCCAGGACATGAACACTTAGGAATATAAAACTCTCGATTTCCTAAAAGTACATGAAGAAATTGCCAGGATGAACAGAAATTTAGTCCCATCAGTTTAAGAGTTAGGTATTAATCATTACTATAATGTGGTAATCAAATTACTTAGAAACTGGCATACATCTAGACTTGACAATACACTTAGCTGATAATAAAAATATAAAAGTATCATATTAAGAACTAATCGCAGGGCTCAAATCTCTTTTACTTTGTAACCACATGTTTGCTGCCAGCTAGGGCACAGTATGAACAAATGTACCTGGCTAGATGCAAACATTTGGTTTGCACTATAATGACATGGGGTAAAGGTCAATGATGTCAAGCGAGTGAGAAAGAAGAGGAGCAACTAAAATGAATAAATGTTAATGATTCTTAGGAAATGATTAAAGAGAAATGGATTTGAAACTGCTTAGGCTGGAATGCATCAGAACTTGCGTAAATAAAGATGCCCTGAGCCAGTCAGTTTGAAAGACAACCAATGGTCAGACAATTTCATTCTTTACTGACATCACACATCTGTCCTGAGGCACAGAACCCTGCTGGAGCTGGACTCTGGCACTCTTGTGGGATGAATTGAGTGGGCCATAAATGTAAGGGCTGACCTAGATAAAGCCCACTCCCCACTCTATCAGGAATACAGCCAGCTACTGGCCTGTCAGCCAATTTCTGTAACGCTGATCATCTCTGAGGATATAGATAAGCACATTAAGTTTTTTTTAAACAAAAACTGGATTTCTCTGTGTAACATCCCTGACTGCCCTTGAACACACTCTGTCTACAAGACTGTCCTTGAACTCACAGAAATCCACCTGCCACTGCCTCATGATGGCTGGGATTAAAGGTGTGCGCCACCACAGCCCAGCTAACCACATTATTTTTTAAAAAGTTATTGTTACTGTATGTTTATGGTGTTTGTGCTCATGTTATGACTCTTACACATATACTGTGGATGGACAGCTGGCTACCCTAGTCTAGTTTTCAAGCAAATGCTTAGGGGTTCGTTATTTTTAGAATTCCATTGTGAAGTCCCACTACCTTCTCTGATGCTACATGATGAGTGGCACAAAAGCAACTAATAATAGATAAGGATGATCTGAGCTTAAAAATAAACCTTCAGAAAGCTTTCTGAACTCTGACAACAGACAGTACCTCAAACTGCAAATGTGCATCTGCGTATTAAAATGTGCTTGGGCAGCCAATGTGTCCCTTGACAACAGCAATGAGAATAATTATCCCCTGGACTAGGGAAGGTTTGGGTCTTGTTAGTTTTTCTCATATTGTTCTGATACCTCTAGCACACTTCACACTTGCTATAATTCCCTGGAAGTCTTTTGTGTCTATGGGAGCAGAACTAGGTTGTATGTATATATGCATGTGTATGTATATGTGTATGTGTATGTATATGTGGTAGATTATTTATTTTTCTGTTGGTGGGATAAAATACCATAAAACACCAGAATGGAGAAAGTTTTTGGCTTACAGTTCCAAAGGGTAGAGTCAATAAAGGGAGAAAAGGTATGGCAAGAGGTGATCAGAGCTGCAAGCTGAGAAATCACATTTCAACTGCTTTTAAGAAGCTGAGAGAACTTGTTTGGAGGCTCTAGCAGAGGAGTGCAGCTACTCGTATACCCTTGACCAAAGACCTTTTTTTTTTTTTTTTTTTCTTTTGGGAAAGGTCATCCTCTTCGACCAAGCATGCAGCTTCTGGGGGAGGGGAGGGCACACATGGAGCAGTGAGGGAAGAAGGGAACACCCGCCTAGCCAGCCAGATCAGCTGAATCAATGGCGATCAGTGGGGTGACAGATGTTGCAGCCAGATTGTTCTGGAACCAGGATGTATCCCTAGAGCACGAACAGACTTCAGGAGCCCATTCCCTATGAAGGGATGCTGTCTTAGACTAGATACACAGGGAAGGGCCTAGGCCTTACCCCAAATAACTTGACAGATTTTGAAGATTCCCATGGAATGCTTCACTTTCCCTAAGGAGTGACTTGGAGATGGGATGGGAGGGCAGTGGGGGCATGGGAGGGTGGGAGGGAGAGGGAACTGGGATTGATATATAAAATAATTTATAATAAAATATAAAAAAAATTTTTTAAAAAGCTGAGAGAGCACACTAAAAGTGAAGCCCACACCCTATGACTTACTTCCTCCTGCAAGCTTCACTGTCCTGAAAGTTCCATAACCTCCCCCAGACAACATCACAAACTGGGGACTAAGTGTTCAAACACACATGCCTATTGGAAACATTTCTCATTCAAATCACTACAGAGTATCTTGATGTTACCAACTAATTCTCTTTTGGGAGCACTAAAAGATGGCTTGGGAGGAAAGTCTGATGATTGTAGCATGATTAACAAACACCCAGAGAAAGATATTGGTGTTCAAGATGAAGATCAGATATGCAAAGCAGCCAAGCCACCAGAGAACTCTTACCTCTACCAAGGTTGAGAAGATCCTATCTTCAACGTGGCTGGAGATTAATTGCCAGAATCTGGGACCCTGCCCCTACACCTCTCTAGTACTGGAATTAAAGGTGTGAGCTCTGTTTCTCTTTTAGACTGATTCACTCTCATGTAGCCCAGGCTGGCCTTGCACTCACAGAGATCCATCTGCCTCTATCTCCTGAGTTCTGGGGTTAAAGGTGTGTGCCACCCCTGCCAAGCCTCTATGGCTGACTAGTGTGGCTGGCTTTGCATTCTGATCTTCAGTGGCTTTATTAAGATCATAAACAATATGTCACCACAAATGGTTCTAAGTATAGGACCTACTCTTAAAGTAGGAGAGCCTATGAAAGAAGAAAAGTTGTTGGTTGATTATCAGTGGCATTGAAGTATGTGAAACCAGTAAAGGGCTACAGCTTACTCAGTAATTAGCCAGAGTATCAGGATTTTATGGTAGCTATGGAAGAAGGTAACACAGTATAATGAGAAATTGTAACCCTTCTTGGATTTTTTTAGTTTCTTTAAATCCCATAAGAAGGTGTTGTCACCTGGGAAGACTATAAATAAGAATTTGGCATGGAGATACAGCTCCATCTAATACTGGCTACACAAACTCAAGGGTCTGGGATGGGGCTGGAGAGATGGCTCTGCAGATAAGAGCACTTGCTCTTGCAGAGGACCTGTGTTAGGTTCCCAGTACCAACTTGGTATCTCACATCCACCCATAAATCGAGTCCAGGAGGTCAGATTCCCTCTTCTGACCTCTTCAGGGACCTGGAACAACTGTGGTACACATACACACGTACAGGCAAAACACTATACAAATAAAATACAGAAATCCAAAAGGGGGGAGGCAAGCCAGAAATAATGGCTCATACTTAGAATCCCAGTGCTGGGAAGGCAGAGACAAGGCATCCCTGGGGTTTGTTGGCAGCCAACCTAGCTTAATTAGGGTCCTAGCCCATGGAGACTATCTCAAAAACCAAAGTTGACTGACCCTGCAGAACAGCATCTAAAGCTGCTCTGGCATGTGTGCACGTACACACACACACACACACACACACACACACACACACACACACACAGACCACCACCACTGCCGTCGCTGCCACTGCCACCACCACCTCAGGGGAGAGAGAAGGAGAATTGTTATGAGCAGTTTCCCTACCACCCTGGTCCCACAGCCGCATCAGCCCCAAATAACACACAGAGACACTGTATTAGGTATAAAGCTGTTGGCCTGTTACTAGCGTTTCTTATTGGCTAGCTATGTCTTAAATATGAACTCATTTCTATTAATCTAAGTGTTTTCACGTGGGAGGGTCTGGACCTCTTCTCTCTCAAATCTCTACATCTTTAATCTACATCTCCCAGAATCCTCCTTGTCTCCAAGTCCTGCCTATTTTGCTTTCCTATTGGCCAACAGGGCTTTATTCATTAAACAATAAGAGAGACACATTTACAGAATGACATCTCCCATCATCTCCTCTTTTCTATCTAAATAAAGAGGGGCTTTAACTTTAACATAGTAAAGTATATAACAAAACAGTTATCAAATAAGAACTATAGTAAACAACATTTAGTCCATTAACATTTAGCAAAATTTAAATATATTCCATCATCTATCCTATCTTTGTGAGTCTAAATTCTTATATGTAACTTATCTTTAATCCTAACTAAGGAATACTATAACCATTACTATCTGTATTCAACCCATCAATGACCACAGAAGGATAATATATAAACTCTAGAAATGACAAGAGACATCTTGCTGCCTGGTCAGTCACC